GACGCCTCTCCGGACTTGCGGCGGCGCGGTGAAGGTGCATGAGGAAGAACCGCTGCCTGCGTTTCTGCTGCTTGGGGTGGACGGAGCTGAACGGCTTTGCCGCGAGCTGGCGGCTCAGCCACGCTACGAAAGCACAAGCGGAGGACGGGAAGCGGTGCTGGAGACGGGCTGCAAAGCTGAAGTCCTTTGCTTACGCCTCTCTGATCCGGCGACAGCCCCGCAGTCAGGTGTGCGAGCAGGCGAGGGCCGGCGGCGCGCCGAAGCGCTGGGATCCCAGCGGGCGTGGGGCTGAATTGCAGCGTGGGTTGCAGTCCCTTGCGACCGTGCCCTGCGGCACGGGCTTGGGCTGGGGGTGCGCGGGTGACGGCGAGCCGGATGTGCTCTAAGGAGATGCCTTTTTCAGTGGAAACCACCGGCCTGTCCAAATGAGAAGCACGTTCTTCCCAACAAAACTTTCACTGGGGAAGTATCTCGGTGCCGGCGCGCAGTGGCTGCTCAGGATGAGGGACGAAGCGACTCCGTGGACCAGGATAATCACTGTTTCCAGAGGGAGGGGGACATCCCGGACAGGCCTAAACCCATGTCCAAATCGAGCTCTACGTGAGCACGTTCATGATGGAGCTGTTCCAGGGCCGCTTCTTGGGAGGGAGGTTCTGGGTGTGTTCTGATCTCTTGATTCTTGAGACTCAAAGTATCAACTTTGGCAAGAAAGCCGTTTTCGACCCATCCAGCTGGCTCTCCATAGCTCCGAAGCTGCTGCGTTCCCGTTCTCCCTGGCTACATCTGCGCTAGTAAATTAAACAGGCCCAGGCCTGCTCTCTGGGAGGACCCCTGGCAGCGTGGTGTGTGTCCACCCAGCTCAACTCGCTGCCTCCCTAGCAGGGGGATTTGCCTATGTGTCTTATGGACATCTGTATCCCCGAGACCGTGCTGTCCCCCAAACTTTGCCAGCATCAGGGATAGTGATGGAGGCACAGGCTGCAGGCATGCTGACAGTTACCTAGTGTGAGATGAGTCTGTTGGGACTCAGCTCGTGCCCAGGCCCCGGAGGTCCTAATTTTGTTAAGGCCCCCCTGCAGATTCAAAAGCTGGCTTCTGCCCTGGGTGGGCTCTGGGATGCATTTGGGCACAGAAAATCAGCCATAGCATCCCCACCGCAGCTCCTCCAGTGTTCCGGGCAGAGATCGAGCCCTGCCAGCGTGTGGAGGAAGGCTTGAAGTCAGCCTGGCCGCTACCCTAACAAAGTCAGCACTGATTTCATCACGGTCCTGGACCGTACGGAGGCACGTGTGGAATTTTCTATATTTAGACTGAGAAATTGCCATCGGTCAGAGCGGAGAAGCACTGCCTTTCCCTGCAGCCATGCTTCCTGCGCTCAGCAAGAGAAGGACACGGAGAGGTCAGAGCCAACACCGGCCTCCGACCCATCACAGCGGAGCAAACGGGCCCTGTTTCACCTCACCAGAGCCTCCTCTCATGTTCTCCATCCCTGCTGAGCTCTCCCCAAAATGCCCGTTCACTTCGCTCCCCATCCCAAGGGGCTGGGTCACAAGCGTGTTGGTCCTCGTTTGGATTGAGAGCCCCAGCCAGTTGCTGATGGGGTCCTTGTGCCCTGCGCTGGGAGCCTTGGTCCCCAGGGAGGATCTTGGGGGGATCCCATCTCCTCCTTGGAAATGCAGAAGGTCCTTCAGCATCGGTAGGGGGTCCTGGACCCCCATCAGTATTGGTGCATGGGAACTGGACCGTGACTCCCTGAGGTGCCAAATTGCTCCCCTTGACAATTCCCATTCCCACCTCTTCCTGCTGGCCTTCCCTGGGGATGGGACAACATGCCGCGCGTCCCACCCTTCTCCCTTCCTCCCATTGTGCTGTTTCCTATCTCTGATGCCTTGTTTGGGATCGGTTACCATGATATCTCCCAAGTCTATGTCCTCAGATCCCCTCGGTGAGGCAGGCAATAGGGCACTGAGACCGTGGCCAACGCACTAAGCGACTTGGGCACCGAATGCCCATGGATGTGTATGAATTGGGCACCTAAGTTCCTTTAAAGGGTACACCTAAGGGGCAGGAACACTGCATACCCAGACGAGTGGTAGAGAAGGGATTGGGCTCTGTTACCACAGGGTTGCTCCAGCCACTGGGCCATCCTTCCT